TAGTCGTCTGTCTTCTTTGGTTCATAAGGTATAACAAGTTTGTATGCTTTGCCTTCTTTAAGGTTTGAGAACCTTCTGTCAAAACTTTCTTTGACTGTTAACAAACCTTCTATGTCTAAGTCTTCAAATTTCGCACCATTTTTAGTCACAATAGCAAACTTAACTGGTTCGATGTTCCAAACTTTGCTGAATGAAGACTTTTCAAAATGGTAGAAGTAAACATTCAAATATGTGAATGGGTCTAGTTCTTCTTTAAGTCCTGACATTTACTTGTTTACTGAAATATATTTCGTCATCTTTTCTATCGGATAAAAAAATATTTTTTTTTTAAAATTTACTCAGAAAAATTTTTCTTTGTATATACACCATTCTGTACGTCTAAAAGACTTTTGACATTTGCCAAGAATGTACGTTTAGAAGCTGCCATATAACCATATTCTTGACAATATTGTTTATATTCATCATATAAAGACTTTTCATCTAAACACTCAAAGTCGCTTTCTTCTATGAACAGTTCATAAACACTCTTGTTTGCTTCTAACAATGTTTGTCTCTCTTCGGTATGTGGAATTTGTCTTGGATTGAACTTAGAAATATCTAATGTCATGAAATATGAGAACAAGTGGTTGTAAAAGTCAGATGTCAAAGTTTCTGCTAAGTCGTCAAAATATTCTGTATCTTGCATATGAGAATCTGACGTTCTGACAACTACATATCTTCTGTCAGAACTTTCTAACTTCATCGGAACAGCATTGTTTGAAACCATAATGAAGTTTGCAACATTTTCACAAACTCTTTGTTCTTTATACTTTCTTTCAACAACTCCAACTTTGTCTGTTATAAGACTCTTCAAAGCATCTGAGTTCAAAACTTTTGTTGTATCTATACTTTGAAGTTCATTGCAAACTATAAGTTTCATATTCTCTATTGAGGAGTTAAACTTGCCACAGATGTTTTCTAAGTTTGTCATATTCGGATTCGAATAACCTTCTAACAGTTTGCACAAAATATCTGTAAAGAAAGTATTCTTACCTGTTCCTTGTTTTCCAATTATAATGAGAGCAGTTTCATTTTTAGCACTTGGATGTTGTAAGATGTTTGCAAACCAACATAAGATATACTCATAAACCTTTTCGTTTCCATTGCATATAATTTCTTTGACATGGTCTAACCAAGCTTCTATAATATTTTCTTTCCATTCTACTTGTTCGTATTTATATCCAGTGAAGATAGAATAGAAGTTTGGAGAAGGTGTATAGAACTTTATACCTCGAACTGAAAAATCTTCTAACTTTGACAATAAGATATCCCAAGCATCTAACATCTTCATGCCAACTTGTACAACTTTTATTTTCTTAAGTTTCTGTCTACATTCTTGTTCAGACACTATTGTTGCTCTTGGTTTGTTAAAGACAACATCCCATTCTTTCATGACATAACATTCTGGGGCAGAGTCAACATAAATGACTAAACGTTTCAAATTCTCGACTGCTTTGTTATAGTCTCTAAATGGACACATATTTCTGAATGCTTGGAAGTCATAAAAATCTGAAACATCTATTCTGTACATTTTTATAAAAATAAAAAAATAATATTTTTTTATTCTTGACTTTGTTGTTGCATTTGTTGCATTTGTTGTTCTTGAGCTATTTGTTGTTGAAGTTGTTCTTGTAATACAATACTTTCACCAGTTGCATCTTCCAATTCGAAACTTTCTGCCGTCATTGACAAATACATAGGACATAAAAGTTTTACAGGAACAAAGTTTGCGTCAACTAATGTCAACGTTATACTTGCCAAAGTGTTTGAGTTCACTAAGGTTGAAAATTCTGCATTCGAATGAACAATAGGCAAACCAGCAGAGAAAGTATTGTTTATACGCATAAGTATCTTTTGGTCATAATAGTTTCTGTCGACATTCGAATAACACTTTGAACCTAAGTTTGAAACAATATATAAGATTGGTGTGCTTAATGTCAATGGAATAGACATTCCTTGTATGACACCTTTTCCTGTTATAGGAAACTGTTGGTAGTAAAAACCAGAAATAAGTTTTGTATTATAGCTCATATCGTTTATAGTAAACTCAGTCGGACATCCAAACATAATGAAACCTGCTCTAGTTGCAGCACATGTTACACCCGTACTTAAAGTATTAAATAAGTCAACAAAACCTGTTGGTGGTATATCTGAGTAAGTATCTTCAAAGGAGTATTTTTTACCATTCACAACAATAAAGTCTTCTGGTGTCAAAAGAGCAAAACAGGCTTTAGTCGTCATTGTGTTTAAGGTTAGTTTACAATATCGTCCTTGAGGACTTTGTAAGTTTGTTGTTATAGAATTATATGACTCAGGGTTTTTAGTCGTAATAGTATAAACCATTATGTCTTCTGCCATTTACTTAGCAAATAAATTTTAATGAAATGTTGTGGTCGTCAAATATTTTTATAACGTCTGGGAAACTATATTTTAAGTTCAACGTTTCACCTCCTTTCATAACGTATATCTTGTCAATGACATTATATGAAACACCACAGCAACTAATGTCGGGTTCTATTTCTTTGATGTTTATATCGTCTGCCTCTGTCAAAGTTTCAATAGTTCTTTCAAAACTTCATGAGGTGCAATGACATATGAGTTCACTTTTACAGGGTTGTGTTCGACCAAGTTTAACATTATACTTAAAGCTTGACAAATCTTCTCCTGAGTTTGAAGTTTGTCTTTCAGTTGTTGGTAGTCGTTTCGAATATCTGCAACAGAACTTAAGTCTCTGTTAACTTCAGGATATGTTGGTTCTTTTACAGGAACAATTGTTATACCATCTTCGTCTTCGTATGGTTTCCCCACTTCAACATCTCTGTCTTTGACATTGACAATAACACTTTGACTGTTTGTTTGAGTTGGTGAATTTAACTTCACATCTGCCACCGCCATTAAACCTTTTGAAACACTTACGCTTCTATTTTTCGGAAATGACATTTTACTTAGAATAAAAAGATGGACGTATTCGATATCTCTTGAATTGAAGCAGAACAAAGTTTATACTCACAAACAATACAAATACATTGACAGAATAGTTCTTTACACAAACAATGGAAAATGTTATAGAATAGCAGTCTTTGCTGAACCAAAATATTTTCATAAAGCAAAGAAAGTTGGTATAACTGAAATGGTGAAAGTTCTTGAAGCAGACAAAAATATAACTTCAAAACTACCGATATTACTAAAGGAAAGTTTATAATACAATATTATGTCAAAACTGGCGTACTGTCAATATTTGACGGAGAGAAGTCAGTTCAAGAACAACTTACTGACCTGCTGCCAAAATCTGCTCGATGGAAGCTGTCGTTATGCCAATCTGAGGAGCCCCAGCAGGTTTCATCGAACGAATCTTCAAAAGAGCATCTTCCGTGAAAAGTGCTATTGGTTTTGTAAACTTCTTTGCTCTCAATTCATCTGGACCGTCTCTGTCACCAGTATATTGTATTTGAACTGTACCAACAGTTGAAATACCACCCATAAAGTCTTCTGAGTCAGCAAATGGAATGCCAAGCCAAAAGTTTGAACGGTCTCCATTGTATATTGAGTTTTTTGACCTCCTGTATGAGTCCATACTTTCACATATGGCATAATAGAACTTTGCATTTCAGGGTTAATAGGTTGTTGTGAAGTTGTTGTTAAAGTTCATAGCATCTAATGTCAAGTTGTATGACCTCATATCCTCAACTGTAGAATATTCTTCTCTTGGATAATATTTGCCATCTATGTTTATATGATATTTAATACCAGGGTTGTAGAAACAAGAATAGTCATTTATAGTTCGTCTGAACAGTACAAACATAGTATCTGCATGTTTCATTGCAGTTGTTAAAGCAATATCTGTTCTTGCACTGCGGCTCCTGGATTTTGGTTTCCAACTTCACCTGCAAAGTCTTTGACAGATATTTGGTGTATAGGGAACATAAGTGGAACTGCAATATATTTGGCAGCTAAAGCATTTGAAATATCTGGGTCCAACATATAGACTGCAAGTCTGCTTTCTATTCTCTTGCATTCAAATTTCGCATGTGAACTTAACTGGGTCCCAAGCAGTTCCAGCAGCATTGAAATAATAGTTTACTTCATTGTTGAAGTTTGAGAAACCAAAGTCTAAGTCAACTTTGTCTTTGCAAAATTCGGCGAATGACGTTTGATGTTCTTTGTCTGTAATAGTGAATGGGTCTTGTGTTGGTGCAATGACTAAGTTATTTTTGCTTGGAGTAAGTTCGATAGAAATTTTTCCTGCCCAGTTTGGCAAGTATCTTAAAAACCTGAAGATGAGGAAAGATGACAAAGGAACTCTAAGTTTCAGTTTTACTTTGGTTACTGCTGCTGCAATTTGTCCAGAAAGGTTAACATAAACTCCTGGAACGTTAGGGTCAAGTCTTCTTATTTTCTCAATGTGCATACTGTCTGTTTGTTCTCTAGCTTGTGGTTGTACTGAGTTTCTCAAAGCGAACCATTCATAGTTTGCCATGTTACTGTTTGAACTAAGTCAGAGTTAGAATATATCTTATATCCCATGAAAACTTCTGGAGCATATTGGTATCCGACATAGAAAATTCCATTGCAACCTTTCTTGTCAGACAACTTGGCAGAAGGTTTTATTTTCAATGTCTTGTTCCACGTATAAGAATGAGTTGTCAATAGAAATAATATGAAACCTGTCGCAAGCAATATCTACTGTTGTTGAAGAACCTTCTCCAAACTCACCTACGTTTCCATAAGAAACAGCAGTTGTATATTCGTAAGTTCCAGGAACTATTTCTGACCTTCTAATGGCATTGTCGCATTCGTTATACCATTCGGAAACATTTCCGTTCATGGCATCCAAAACTGTTGGCGTTATATTCTGAGCGGCGTACATTTCATATGGGTAAAAATATAGAATAGTTGGATTTATATGTCATAATAGAACCCACTCGGACCAAGCTTTACTTTCTTCCTGACTGAGTTTTTAACTAAATCTTTAACTCTTTTTTTCCTTCATTGCCACTACTTTCACTAGATGAAGTTACTTCTTCACTACTTTCACTTTGTTCTACTCTTCTCTTCTTCTTTGGTGTCGCTTTTGGTAACTTGCCCTCTGCTTCAAGTTGTAGCATCTTTGCCTCATGTTCACCTAGTATGTTGTAAATTTCCCATGTCCTTTTTGCCTTTGGGCTCTGGTCGCCCATTTCAGGTAACCTATATCCTAGAAAGATTTTGTCATAGTTTGTATTTGAGTCTTCGCTTATTGTTTGCATGACTCTTTCCTGAGTTTCCGGTTCAAGCTCTTCAAATATAGCTTGTCCATATGGAATAAGCTCGTTTCCAAATATATGTTTTTGTAGCCATTCTGGTTTTCTTTCCATGTAACCAATAATATCTTTTGTGAATGGGAAAGCTTTTACCCAACGTTTCAGTCTTGCGTCATTTATTTCTGTAGTTGGTTTTATTTTGTCATGGAACATGTTTTTCAATACTAACATTTCATTTGGTACTGTCTATTTGAGTTTTCTTAAATATTCATCCCTTCTCAGTTCATTGTCTGCAAAGTAAGTTTTTATGACATTTTGCAAACTTTCGTTTGCAAGGTCATGTACAATAGGTTCTCTTCCTTCTCTCTCCCTAACTCTCTTTCTAAACTCTTCACCAAATATACCATCTCTATGGTTCTGTGTAGTTCTTTGAGATAAATGTTCTAGAACGTCAGGTGTTATATTTCCCTCAGCCATGTTCATTTCATACTGGTCCAAAATATCTGCATCTTTCATATCTTTCAATGGCATTAAAGCCGCGCTGAAAATACCAGTTATATCTGGTTCACCATTCAATTCCATTGCGTCTACAACTTCTTGGAATTGAGGTTGTAAGTTTATGAACCACCTATCCGGATTAGCTTTATGACCCCATCTCATTGTAGTTCCATCGTCTGCAGAAACAAAAGTAGGTTTGTTTCCATATTGGTTAGGTTCTGAATGAACTTTAAACAATGTTTCATTTCTATATGCTTTGTTGAAATTTAACCTTTTATTTTCACCGAGTTCAGCCAAAGATTGAACGTTATATGGTCGTAAGTAAAAAGGATTATTGTATTTGCGTACATTTTCTTTCAGTACTTCCATTCTATGCTGAATATTTTCATCTGATGTTGGAGTCTTTTGTATGTCGGTGAACATTTTTCGATATCCTTCTACTATGTCAGCCGAATTTTTCTTAGACTCTTGGAAAGATTCCATATTCTCCTCATACTCTTGTTGAGGGTCAAGATTTTTCGGCTGTTCCAAATCTTCATCTAGTTCTGTGAAGTTAGTTTCCAAAGGAGGGACTTGTTCGTTTCCTTCAGGCTCTTCTAGCTGTTGTTGCTGAACTATTTCTTCCATGTCTGGTTGTATCTGAACTTCTTCCTGTGGAGTTTCTTGTACCTCATCTGGTGGCATTTCATATATTCCGAGACCGTTTTTAACAAGTTCCCTATCTAAGTCATCCGGACTCATAAACCTTTCTTCTTTCGTTCCGTCTCTATTTTTTACGCGTTTCATGAAGAGAGTTGAATTATCATTTAGCTCTGACATCAAATATCTCGGAGTAAATTCATCCATGTCATTTGGATGATATGCTATTAAATCATATCTCTTTGCGAGCTTGTATTTTCCAGGTTTGAGATTATATCCGATTTGATGCTGAACCATAAAGCTAAATAGGTTCGGGTCAGTATTTCCTTCCTTGAACTTTCTAATAGCTTCTTTATATCTGTCACTAAAGTCAAGAGTATCTAGGTAACCATAATCTTCCTTAAGCATTTTTAAGAATTCTTGGTTTCCTTTTTCTCTACTTCTTTTATGTCCTTGCTCTGTTTGTGGTTGTTGTTGTGCAGGGTTTTGAACTGTTGGTTGTTGTGCAGGGTTTTGAACTGTTGGTTGTTGTGCAGGGTTTTGAACTGTTGGTTTTGGTTGTTGTTGTGGTGCTGGATTTTGAACTGTTGGTTGTTGTGCAGGGTTTTGAACTGTTGGTTTTGGTTGTTGTTGTGGTGCTGGATTTTGAACTGTTGGTTGTTGTGTTGGTTTTGGTGCATGCCTGTGTCTGTGTCCATGTGACGATGTAAATGTTTTAGGTAGTCCTGGTGCAGGTGCTTCTCTTGGAGGGTTTGGTGGTATATAAGTTCCACCAGCTGGCACATATGTTCCATCTGCAGCATAATGTCCTACCTGACTTTTCGTTTTTAAGAAAGCATTTACTAGGTCTGTTTTGGTCTGTTGTAACTCTTTTTCTTGACTTTCCACAACAGTTGCTCTAACGGCGTCATAGGCACTTTGAACTGCCTGTCTCGTTGCTGCATCTGTTATTTTCGTCATATTTTGTGCTACTTCTTTTAACTCTTTGTCGAAACCTTCAGACTTCAGTTTCTTTCCAGATGAGAAGTCGTTCACTAGTTTCACCTTACTATGAAGAGCTTCGAAGGCATTCTTAAAGTCAGCATTCATTAAAGCTTCATTTGAACTGTCTTCATCCGCTTGTATTTTTGTCCTTATTGACCATATAAGTTGGGCTGCTTTAGCGTTGGCTTGGGCATCTAACCAGTCATTATTAGCTTTTATATATTCTGCGCTTTTCATTGCCTTTTGCATGGCTGCGTCGTTATTTTTACTTTCTTGTGCTAAGTTTTCATACTGTACGGTTTGGTTTTGCAACTGTAAAAGTTTTTCTGCCTTTACATTTGCTTCAACTTCTTTTTTATACTCATCGCTATCCATATATGTCTTCATGGCTTTTTGTTTTATCTCTTCATCTTTCAGTACTTTATATTGAGTAGTATGGTTTTTCAAATTTATAACATCTTGTTCCATTTTTGCTACTTCTGCTGCTTTTTCTGACACTTTTTTCGCATATTCCTCTGTACTTAGTTCTTTCAGTTGTTCTTCTTTCTTCTTTTTCTCTACGTTTAACTCATTGAGTTTCTTTGTGTGTCTGTCATATTCTAGTTTCTTTTCGTTTTCACTTATTTGTTTCTGTATGTCTATGTTTGACTTTTTGACATCTGTTATTTGATTTTTGAGTGAGCTCAAATTCATTTGACTTTGAGGGTTATAAGCTGTTCCGTCTGCAGCTCCACCATAGCCTGCCATTTTCGCTAAAAGTGCCGCTCTTAAACCTCCACTCTGTGCACCAATAACTCGGTTTAAAAGCATAGGGTTGCTTGACATTTGTTGCAACATAGTGGGGTCATTCATCATTTGTTGTTGCAACTGTTGTTGTGGTGTCAGTTTTACTATTGGATGTTTCAATGCTCCCTTCCTCTTACGTATATTCTTACGTAGCTTACGTGGCATTTTAAGTGAAGTTAAAAAGCGGTTTTTGACAGATGTTTATATGACACTTTTTGTTTAGCACAAAAAACTACTCGGTCAAAGTGTTGTCAGTTTTGTAAAATAACCGTCTTATCTTGTTTTAAAAGGGAGAAAAGGCTTCTCAAAGTATACTTCCTTGGAACGCCTGTAACTTTTCCTGTAGCGACGATAGACCCTTACTTGTTCGGACAAAGTTATACTATTTTGAGTGCTCTACAAAAAAAGTCACCGGCTGGCTCGTCCTCAGAAATTTTTTATGGGCTAGAGGGCGCAACGCGCCTGGAAGCCCTCCGAATAAAAACTTCATTTATACTAAACATCTTCAGGGCTAGAGGGCGCAACGCGCCTGGAAGCCCCACTACCCTTTTTTTATATTAATGATCATTGTTTTTTGTTTTTTTGATTAATAATTTTTTAATGATCATGAATATTATATTTTATTAATTGGATTAGTCAATAATTTGGTACAAATGAGCATGAAACTATTGTCATGATTTATTCAATCATTATCGTTAGATTATTTTCATTTCGAATTATAAAATAAGGATTAAGGGCTAAATTAGTAATATCAAGTTTTCCCATGTTACTGAAATTTAAATATCTATTATTTGTTTGGATTAACATATGAAAATGTGAATCTGACAAAACTTCTGAAATTAAATTTTGTGAAGAATAAATTCACATTTTTTCAGCTATAAATTTACTCAATTTCCAAAATGAAGTTTTTATTTAATCTACTACTTTATTATCCTTCCTTTTTATAAAATGTGATTTCTATCGTTCCTAGTGGTCCTCAATTTAATTAAACGATAATAATATGATATTAGTTATTTTTCCATAAGAATTAATATATAATTGAATATTAACAATTTTCTGAGGATGAAAATTTATTTAAATAATTTCAATCAATTCAAGTACTCAATTTACATTCACTTCATTATTTAATTGTCATTCCCAGTATGGCAATGATCCATGCAACTTATGCTAAAGACAATCAGGGTAACATGTCTGAACCACTTGATAATGATCAACATGATCTTATTCAACCTAACATGCAAATGCAATTTGATATTTCCACAAATATCGAACAAAAGGCTGGGAGTTCAAACCAGTGTCTCAATCCTGATTACCAAGATTTTGGATTTCCAGATATTAATCCATATGAAGATTTTACAGCATTTGGAGGACAATATGGTGAAATTGCGAATCATGATTTACTTCCTGATTTACAGGAAAATATTGATCTAAGTCTTGATCCACCCATGCCATTTGAAAGTAAGGCAAATGAAGGACAGTCTTCTGGACCCCCAAATCATGATATCATTTCTAATTTGCAAAAAAATGATCTGGCTCCTGATACACAGCAACTATTTTGCAGTGCAACAGTTGAGGGACAGTCTTCTGGAATCTCGCAACAGAATACCATTTCTGATTCGCAAGAAAATAATGAACGTACTCAATATTCCCCTCCATCAGTTGATGAATGTTTTTTCAACCAACAAGCGTCTGACTTTGAATTTGGTGAAATTGAATTCGATAATTTTTACTGATGTTTAATTTCATTGTATTATTTGTAATAAATAAAAAGGTGATCTTTCATTGATTAGATTTTTTCAACCTTCAACGATATATGTTGTCTATATCAGACCTCCTTTCTTTTTGATACTTAACATTGTTCCTAAATCTTAGCCGTTAAGGCTGTTCTGAAAATATTTTTTTTCGAAAAAATTCGAAAAAAATTCTTAAAATTCAAAAATCCCTTAATTCCTGAGGATTTTGGAAAAAAGTTTTTACATGAACATGTGTATATTATATGAAGTATATTGATAAGGTAAAAATCAAATTTTATTGCATATTCATCGAGAAAATAAACTAACGAATCCCTCAAAATTGAGAGGGTAATCCTCCTCCTCTCAAATAAACGTACATACGGGTGCACCCTTAATACTTATGAAAAAAGAGGCCACCCGTATGTACGTTTATTTGAGAGGAGGAGGATTATATTTTTGAAAGGGTGAAACATTATGAATATGTTAATTATATAATAATATGTATTATTATAAAAAAGAAAAAATAAAGCACGTTAAAATTTTTCTTTCTTGATTTTTTACAAAATCTACTTAGAATTATGCAAAATATGACTAAATAATTATAAATTTCAAGTTAAATTTTAATTTTGATAAATAATTTAAATTTCAAAATATCAAGTTCAGTTCGACTATGTATGTAGTAATTCCTCAATAAAGTGCCAAAACCCTATTAAAATATATGAACATTTTCAACATTTTAATGTTTTTATTTAAAAATTTGACGGAATATGAGCTTCAAACAATTATTATGTAAATAAAAATAATTAAATATATGTATTTATTCGTATTACAACCGTAGTAAGTCGATTCTTCCTTTCTTCTACTGAGGTTTGAATTTGATTTCGAATTGTAAAGAGATTCAAAGGGAAAATACTAGCGGAGAAAAACTACCTCCATGAAAGGGTCATAATGGACTCAAGTTGTATTTTTTGATATTTTTTGCTTTTCGAGCCTAAATAGGTAGCCAAGATAATGCCTAAAAATAAGGTTCTAAATTCTGAAGTTTACATGATCCTCTCGTGTGCGCCCTTAATATTATGAAGTCATCTGAATTATTGGTAAAAAAAAATTTAGAATTATCTAAAATAACCGAACAGCGGCTTTATAAAATCAATTTATTCTGGTTTGACATTCTTAAGTATTTCGAAAATATTATTGAACTGAGGTGGGAGATTAGGAACCTCCTGGTATGTAGCCATTCTCTTCTGGATGATGACCTGGCTGAGTGAACCGGCCTCCTCCATTTTCTCTCTGTCGAGAAGGATGACTGATGGATCGTTATCCTTATCGCTGACGAGGTGCATGTAGAGGCAAGCGTTCTGGATGAGCTCGTAGATGAACCTTGTGTCTTCCTTTGTCTTCTCTGGTGACTTTGGAACCTCCTGCAGGCCGGCAAGTACAACCTGGCGTCCCTGAGGTGGAATGGTGTAAAGGTTTGGAGGAAGTTTGTAGAGGTCGTCGAACTTAGCTTCTGTCGATGTGCAGTAGTCAATGAGTCTTACTGTAGCTGTCTTCTCGTTCTGGTTGATCTGTTCGATCCTGACTCTGAATGACTGGTTCTTGACGTGATAGACGAGGCAGTCGTTCTTGAGTGGGATCTCTGTGAAGCGGCTCTCATCGAGCTTCATGTCTGCGAGTTCCTTTGCGATTGTCTTGAGTGCTTCACCGTTGTGCTGGATGACGATGTTTGTTGGTGTTGAGACGCAGACGACGCTGACTGGGTAGACAGTGCCCATCTGCAAGTCCTGGAGATGGCGTGTCTTGTCCTGCCAGAGACCTTCGTTGAATGACTTGCCCTTGTCCTGTGCGTCGATCAATTCCTGTGGGATCTTCTCCTCGTTTGACTTGAGAATCTTTGGACGGATCTCTGAGTAACCGCGCATGAGGATCTTCGCTGCGATGTTCTTCTTCTCTGAGTCGTACATGTTGACGTAAAATGTTCCTGTGTGCTCATCGAGAGAGAGGATTTCGATCTCTGCCTCTGTGTTGAGGAAGTTGTCCATGCAGAATGCCTTTGCATCGTGGCCGAAATGGTCGTTTGGTGCAATTGGAAGCAATCCGTTGAGAGCAACTCTGATGAGGACTTTCTCCTCTGTCAGCAAGACTGTGTACCTTGTTGTGGAGAGAATGTGCTCAATGATGCAGTGGAAGCGGTGGCCCTTGTACTCATTGAGTTTGTCGTTGAGGTTCTTTGTGTATGTGAGGTCTGTGAACTTGAATGGATCTGGTGTGACGGAGGCGTGGACACCGACGTGGGCGGCCTTTGCGCGCTCTTCTGCTGCAACTAACGCAGCGTGCTTGGATGATGGAACGCCGCAGACTGGATCCTTGTCAACTGTGGCAAGACCTTTCTCGACGAGATCTTCGTTGATGGACTTTCCCTTCATCGAGATTGTGCCGTAGAGATGGTCCTCAAACTGGGCCTCGATCTCGATTGTGAAGTACTTCTGGCGGTAGTTCTGGCGGAGGAATTCACGTGCTTCGAAACCATTTGACTCGCAGCCAACTGTTGTAGAGAAGCGAGGAACGTGGATGTCGTTGAAGTAGATGACCTTGCGCTGGCCTTCAACGAGAACGTAGAGACCGGATGAGCCGCGGACAGATGTAACAATACCATTCATCTGTTGGAGATTTGTGTTGATGCGTGACTGTGGTTCGTTCTTTGCCCAGAAACCTGCCTTCTCCTTCTGAGCGAGAAGCTGTCTGTGGATGTAGAGGTTTGGATCGAGGCATTGGTCAGCTGTCTTCTTGTAGAATGTGGCGTAACCTTTCTTGATGGAATCTGCAACAGCGAGGTCCATCTTTGGAGTGATAATGCATCCGACGAATGAAGGAATTTCATTTGCCTGGTTCTGGTAGCTCTGGAAATTGCTTTCGAGGTAAGAAGTGATACGGATGCGAAGTTTACGGTTTAAGAACTTGTTGATGGAGTCTTTCTTGCTCTCTTCACGGATAGGATCATCTTCCTTGAAGTAGCAGACCTTGCAACCAGCGAGATTAAGATAAATGTTTTCATGATTTGGAAGAAGGAAAACTGAAAGAATTGTAGCGGCTTTGATACCATCAATGTTGCAATCGAATTCGCGTGTGGTAAGAATTTGCTCAACGTTTGGCTTTTGTGGAAGTTGGCGAACGAAGCCTGGTGTTTCTGACCAGATGCCTCTTTTGGCAGCCTGGGCCGCTTCCTGAGCCTTTGTAAGTTCTGCAATATAACTAGCGTGCTTTGGATAAACTGATTTTGTTTCGCGGAGTTTGGCCCAGCCGTTTTGGCAAGCCAAAATGCCGATGTCTTCCTGTGTTTCGTATAATTCAATTTTTGTAAATGTGACAGTAAGAGGACCGAAGGCTGGATGTGTTCTTGTTTGGTTTGATGGATTATTTGAATGGACAATAACGCGTTTTCCGATGCAGAGATCACGGAGATACTCCCATGATGCATATCCGTGTGGTTCATCTGGGAAGGTTCCGTCAGAACGTCCGAATTTTGGAGCAACTAAATGCTCTAAACAAATAACTTGTGTTTGGACGTTGTCAACGAAGCGAACGATGAGAGAATCGCCTGAAAGGATGCCTGCAACAATACCTTTAAGTTGAGAAGACATAATAAGTTTCCCGAAAAAATGTGGCCATATCTAACCGCCAATTTTCCCTTCGATGACTTCACTCATATATTGACAAATTATCGTTTGGCATCACACATAATAAGCACTGCCTGAATTTCCTAAAAATAAAGATTATAATCGTTTAAAAATTCATATCGTTTTTATTCTGTTATTTGTTCAATAAAGGTTTCTAAATATGCTACATTAGCTGTGCCCCTTAGGCATGATGTAAAACCTTCAAAATCAAGTAGCTTATAAGCTTTGTCTTTTTCAATTGGAATTTAATCAAACATTTGACATATTTCTTATCAAATCTTTCGGGGTTTCATCGATTTATTGATCGTTTCGTTATTCAGTCCTCAATTACTGTTGGAAAATTACTAAAGATACTTCATTTTCCATTACTTCACAAAATTATATTATTGAAACTACATCCATTATGAAAATTAATTTTGGGATTTTTCTTGCTTCTAAGTTTTATACATAAAACCATTCTGTGAGTTCTACAAAAGTATATATATAAAAATATGACACCTTGATAAAGATCGTTATTCAATAAGCTAATCTCATATACTTTTATGAAGTTCTATGGGTAACAGGAAGAAAATTCTGAAGAAAAGTTCTCAACTTTTTTCTATGAATTACAAAAAATATGAGGGAAAAAGAAAAATAGATATATGGTTGCATAGTATTTTTACTTAGATTTTTCAGCCCTGATAGTTTTAACGCCATCAACTAGATACTTGAGTCCAAGAACAAGGTTTTCTTCTGTGACTGAGAAGCAAAGTCTGAACCAACCTGGGACTGGATACTTGAATCCATTGGCACCTGGAAGGATGTGGACATTATGCTTTTCAATAAGGTCGAGCCAAAGGCTCTTTTCGGATTCAACGTCTGGAGCGATGTCAGAGAGATTGATCATGATGAAGAGTGATCCATCGCAGTGTAAGAACTCGATGCCGCCCTCTTTGAGAGCTTTTTCCGTAATGTCGAGATTCTTAATAAGGCGATCTTTGCTTGTCTGGATCATTTTATCTCTGAGTTCGTAATCGCAGAATATACGTTCGAGAATCTGGCATGTATCGCTGCCCATGCAGTAGCAACCCATGCATGTTTTGACAGCCTGAAAAACTTCTTTGACTGGTGTGTAGAAGATACCGATATGGAAACCAGCCATGCCCCAATCCTTTGAAATACCGTAGAGGTGATGGGTTCTGAGTGGATCTGCGTCTGGATGTGACATGATTGAAGTGTATGTTTGGCCACGCATTGACAATGCGTAAACATCGTCTGTAAAAACGTGAAGATTTGGATTCTGGAACGCCCATTTGAGAACTTCAGAGATGTTTGGAATTATTTCACCAATTGGATTTCCAGGGTTTGTAAGAAGAAGAATCTTCGCATTCTCAGGTGGAGCGGGTGGAAGATTGTTGAGATCGATGTATTGGAAATCGCAACCGCAAGGATACATATCTGGCTCGAAGCAACCATATGCTGGTGCTGGAATGAGAACTAAGTCGCCTTTCTCGCAGAATGCGAAGGAAATTCTTTCAACAAGATGCGAAATGCCACTTCCGAAGAGAATCTGATCTGGGTTGACATTCTTCATTCCAAGATGGTCTTCATAAAGCTTTGCGAGGCCTTTACGAAGATTTTCTGTATGCATTCCACCTCCATATGTCAAATGGTCGGCAGTGAACTCAGGTCGGCTCTGGCAAAGTGGAACAAGGAAGTCGTCAAGAAGGTGATTCTCGGCTGTTCCAAGGTTCACGACCTTTGGATTTGTTGCACACTTCATGAAGCCAATGCCCAAGATAGGAACTGGCTTCTTTTCTAAGTGTTCGAGGTATTTAGTCTTCTTGAAAGACATTTGATAAAATTGGACCTCAAATTTTTTTGAAGGAGAAAAAAAAAACAATGAAAGCTAATAAAAATTAATGGGGCAATGCGGGAATTGAACCCGCGACCTCGCGCACCCTAAGCGCGAATCATACCACTAGACTAATTGCCCTTACTAAACATATATTGTTAGAAAATTTAGTGATAAATTATTATAACTTTTTATTGTATAGATGATAAAATGTAGTCAATCAAAATGCTATTAAATATGTAGCGATTATCAAAAAATATATAGAAGTTTCAAATCTTGGGTCCAAATTCTCAAAAAAAAAAAACAAAAAAGACACTCCTCTTCTTTCTGATAAAATCATAAAAAGAATGCTAAGTTCTCAATTTTCCATCATGTCCATCTCTCTCAATCACTTTTTGTTCACCCTGAGGGAAGCTATTGTTGGGGCATTTTCTTAGGAGAGGGTAAATTTGAATACCATTCAAAAGTAAAAATTCACAATTTGTTCGATTTGGACATATAATCTATTATTATATATACATGGCACGATGGGCGCTACTTTTTGGCGCCAGCGGCGCCGCCCGCGCCTCCGGTGGCTCCCACTGGTGGGGAGGAGACGATAGAAAAAGATATAAATTTTACTAAAAAAATTGAATTTTGGAAATTCTTTTGATTTTTTTGAATGATTTACGAAGAGATTGAACACATTTTGTACTATGAAATATCGTTATTAATAAATTTACTTCTTAAACATCTATTAAAATCGCAATTTTGAATATTTTTATGATTTTTTTTGACCCGATCACTTGCGCCCGCGCCCACTGGGAGGGGCGCTTGTAAAGTATTCAAAAATCAATGTAAACATTTCAATTTTTGCTCCCACCTCCCATTGGGAGGGGGGCATATATCTTGTAGCGTTCAAGTTCAAGTGATGAAAGTGCATAAGAAAGCTCCTTAATCATACCAATAGAAACAGCATTAGGGGCGCCAAATGGCGCTCGGTGATGTTTCCCATAAAAGCTTAATTTCAGGTATCCATAATCATAACCTGTCAGACGCAATAATTCATTAGCACACAATCATCGTTTCTCAATCAAGAAACGAAACGCACGATTGATTATGCTGGCCATTAAATTTTCATATCAAATTAAAGACTATCATCAACCAAAGCTTAAAATTCTCAGTGTTTACAACTCTCATACTTCGAATATGCATATTTCCAAAATAGCATGAAATTTTTTTTCATTTGAGCTCATTTTCTTTTGTTCTATTAACTAATACATGCAGTACAAGCTTGTTATACGTATACTTAATAAGTAAGGTCTTAAGGGAAATAATAAAAAACAATTTTGCTATTAATTATATTAAACAATATTTATTTGTAATTTCGTGATAATTATATTTCTTATTACAAAGTAAAGGTATTTGATATAATGTTTGCCTTACAAAAATGTTTCCTTTGTCTTGCCACCATAGGTATTCTATTTTGTCACTTTTTGCGCCCGCCGTGCCATGTATATTATTATATATAATGTAATTAAGAAAAAAAAATAAAATGACCTGCATATATTAATTATTTAGATTGCAAGATTCAAAAAAGCTATTAAAATTAGAGACTAAATAAATAGCGAATTGATTCATATGGATTTATGTAATTGTGAACATTAAAAGAGTTTATTTATTGATCTAATAAAAAAAGATAAAATATTAATGAGAAAATTGAAAGAATAGAGTGTCCCATTCACTCGTGTTGGTCGCAATGTATCATTCTTGGAGACATTGCCTCTGCATGTCTCCCACAATGGCACAATGTTCCTTGGAGAAAGACCTGGAAGGGGGTCCTTTCTCAAGGTCAGGGCCCCCTTCTAGTCTTTCTGGTCCTGGAAGGAGCGCTTCTGACTGGTCTGTGCGCTGCTTCCAGGAAGATCAGGAGATTGCTCGAAGTTCGCGGCAAGTGCATTCCGACACCACAGATGCACTTGCCGCAACATATAATTGCGAGTGTCTGCTGCTTTGGTCAAAAGAAGCAGCAGACACTCGCAATGCGAACCGAATTGTCCCAGAAAGACCTGGAAGGGGTCCTTTCTCAAGGTCAGGACCCCCTTCTAGTCTTTCTGGTCCTGGAAGGAGCGCTTCTGACTGGTCTGTGCGCTGCTTCCAGGAAGAACATGAGATTGCGCCAATAAGCTCCTATCAACAAATTTTGACTAAAAATATAAAGTATCCTTTTGTGATTTAACGAATAGCTCAATTTTAAAATAGATTTGATTCTAATAATAAATTGAATGAGTTTCGCTTACGTTTAGAATTTAATGATTTATATGATTTTTTCGTTCACAGAAGAGTCATTGATATCCAATATCAAAAAAAACAGCAAAGACACACCATAATAAATGATATTGAAGCTAAATATTACATATTTCAACATATCTAAAAAATTATTATAAGATTAGATCTCATGCAATGCCGAGCAGTTTCCTAAAGCATAATTACTTATTTATACAGAATCAATTATATAATATTCACATTGCAAATTATATACATTCTCACGAAGCAACATGAAATAGACTGTCCGAATTTGAATTCAAATAGAGATCTACTTCAAAAGGATTTCTTACAATATGTAATCTCGATGTTGATCACTGGAATACAAGGGATGCACGTAATTTACAAATTGTTGCAAAAATAGTAGTACAACAAAAATTTTATTTTTAGCTTGTCACTTGATATATAACAATTGCAAAAACTCAATCAAAAATAGGATTTGAACAACTTTTTAAAATTGTGAGAAAAATTCTATCGGCACATTCTATTCAATTTTAAAGTATTTCTTTCATATTCCAATCGATTATTCAATATTTGCCAATCACAAATTTTAGTTCAAAATTCAAAAAATCCCTAATTTTAATTTCAGATGAAATCTCGCAAAAATAACATTGTTTTAACCATATAAATATATATTTTATATATTGTATAGTGATTTTTTAATATTTTTATGAGTAAAATCGAGAGTGAGGAAATGTGGACTACAAAAAACGATAGAAATGAATAGTTTACATGGGAATTCAATACTTATAAGTATTCAATGTCACTTTTGTGCTTGAGATTTTGACTCTAGTATATCAGAAAAAAAGTAATTACTTTTTTAAAATATATTATCAAGTAAATAAAGACTTTTTCGCCATAGAAAGCACCTTTCACGGCTTCTTACCAGATCTAGTCATCTTTTCCAAATTCAATTCCTGCTCTTTTCTGTTCTTATTTTATTTATCGTTAATTCATTTTTCAAAACCGAATCAATACAGAATGTAAATACGACAGGTTCTATATACAGAACAGGAAGAATATTTTTTGGGGTTGTAACTCACAAAAAATCTAACAGAAGAGATTCAACTTGGAAATATTGGATGAAAAGAATACTTGAAGATGGATATCACGGGTCGAAATTCATATTGGATCCTCAAGACGATTATCCAAATCATTACTTACAAATGGATAATGACCTAGCCCAAATAAATCAAGCCTCGCAGAAATTTCAAGATGACGTAGATAGGGGCTCGAAGGGTGTGATTGGCGCCAGATATTTGGTTTCCAATCCTCAATATAGCTGGTATTGGTCACTCACAGATGATATTTACATGGATTTAGACTTAGTCACTAAATTTTTTGAAGAATTAGAAAGGAAATATGATCCTTATTCTCAGATTGTCATAAAAGGTCAATGTCTCTGCAATCACGGATACAGATATCTGCAAGGTGGAGCAGGGTATATATTTAGCAACCTTGCAGCTAAGAAATTCAATGAAATTTCAATAAATTGGTTACAAACCATGACACAATTTGACGATTTACACTTCAAAGATGTACTTGATGCCTTTAATCTTACCACTGATGATATCGCAATCAACAACATATTTGGATATCGCGCGGGAGATATTTTGAAATATCCAAATTTCCAAAAATGCCCCAGCAATATTAGTAAGACTTGCTGCGGGTATGATAGTATATACCCCATGAATAAATTGATGGTAATTCACGAAAATTATATGAATGTAATGGAAGTAGCTGTTTTATTTGTAAGCCAAATAAAGCAGAAGAACGAGTCGCTTTATCATTACTACTACGGAGATCCTTGGGAACTTACACCATGCAAACTATAAAAAAAAGATAAAGTTTATCGTCAGTCATATTTTTATTGATTTTTCCCCATCAAAAAGTGAGGATAAATGATGTTGTCGGGTATCCAACCTGCCAAATGAGCTTTATGGTGTGCGTGATCTTGTCATTCCTTCTATGTTATATAGGCAAATGATTCAGTATCCAAAAGAGTACTCGTTCATCTGATTACCCAAGAAACTTTGATTTCATAAAAATTTAATTGGCTCTTAAATCAAGAATACATTTAGATATTAGAGAATTTTCGAAGTAAATTTTGAATGTAAAGCACTTATTAAGAATTTGTTGGGCTTTGAATACACTTCAATAATACATTAGAATAGTGTGATACTTGGGAAGGCTGAAATTGAAGTCTGGTCCATAAATGAAGAATTTGGAAAATTAAAATGCAAAACTCTGAATTTCAACCATACTTTAATGTTATGCATATGTCATCAGTACCAACAGTTCATATTAATTTAATTTTTATAAGTTACCATTTTTTGATACTTCAACCAACGCCGCACTTGCAGATTTAAAAAATTAAATAAACCGAATTCTATTATTTGATTATTTAAATGCAATCATTTGAATTAATTGTCTTTTAATAATAATACTGATTTCCAAACTTTAACTTTGTGTTGTTCATAGCCGGAGGCAGCAACGCGCCCGTTGGGCTAGCGCTGCCGCTGGTGGCCCGATTTTTTTTCCAAGATTATATTTTCCCAAAGAACCTTTCCCAGATATTGGGTTTATCAACCAGAAACATCCACCTTACAGCTATTAAGTTTTATATGAGTTTTGTTAATAATTATAAAATAAATTATCATCATTTTGATAAAAATAATATTATTTGCACATCAAATAGCAAAGAATAATATCACATGTATATTTAAAATGCGAAGGAAGGAAAATATGGGTATGATTTTTGTTTTGGGTTAATTTGTTGCAAATTAACAATAATAGAAGCAATTCTTGAGTCAAAGGATTAGAATGAAGCAAATTGGACTTTCGATGGTTTGTTGAGCTGCGCAAATATCTATCTTCATATTTGAAAAAATTATAGGTATTGAGAGGAAACAAGATATATTCGATGTAGAGATATTTATCTGTATTTCAATTCAGTCAAATTGAAATAGGTAATTCATGGATATTGAAAAAGCAATTGAAACTAAAAAAAAGGGACGAACTTTAAATTGAATGGTCAATTTAAAGCAAGTATTCAATTTTTTGGTCAATTTAAAGCAATGAATGAGAAAAACTTTGAGCTTAGGAGGTCAGGTGCGTGGGGCTTCCAGGCGCGTTGCGCCCTCTAGCCCATGAGAAATTTTGCCCAGGACCCAAGAGGAGGACCGAACCCCAGCCGACCAGCCGGTGACAAAACCAAAACAGTTGTTATTTACATCATATTAATGATATCACTTTTTTGTCACTTTTTGTATCACCTTTTTAAATATCACTTTTTGTGCCACTTTTTCAAAAATGCGAATTTTCACTTTTTGTCACTTTTGTGTCACTTTTCACAAATTATATATGTTTTCATGTTTTGTCACTTTTCTGTCACTTTTCGGGTAAAAACATTTTTATTATTATATATAAATGAATTTTACAAAACCACCGTTACCGTTCTTTGGAAATAAGAGTAGATGTAAAGATATTATATTGAGAGAACTTAAGAAACTACCGAATGGTCTAACATTTGTAGATTTGTTCGGTGGAAGTTTCTATATATCCCATTTATGTCATACCGTATTTCCTGACTCAAAGATTATATGCAATGACCTCGACAATTATATGGAGCGTCTCAAACATATTCCAGACACAAACAATATATTGAAAGAGTTAAAAGAAAAGATACCTATAGGTAAGATGGAACGTATACCATTAGATAAGAAAAATATTGTGAGAGAGGTTTTGAAAAAAGCAGAATATATAGACTGGGATAGTATATCTGCTAGACTATTATATAGTGGTGCTATAAGAGTTCATGACATTGAAACACTTATGTCAAAAGTTTTATATCTTAACTATACAAATGTTTTCAAAGAGGACATAGAAAAATATATTGAGGGTATAGAGTTTGTGAGATGTCATTGGACAGAGTTGTATGAAAAATATAAAGACAAGGAAAATATTTTCTTTATAGTGGACCCGCCGTTCTATAACACATGGGATTTTCAATACCAAGTAGACTGGACTTTGAGAGACTCTTTAGAAACTTTAGACGTTATACATAACCATCCATGCTTTTACTTTACATCCGATAAAAGTGGTTTGGAAACCATTATGAGATGGTTAGAGGACATACATGACTATGAGTTTATATATGACAAGATAGAATATGAGAGAGGTCCTATAAACTGGAGAAAGTGTCACAATAAAGAAATTTTATTAGTAAGTAAATGTGGTTTGAAATAGGACTACTTGTTTTAGGTTTTTTCCATTGTGTCATTTATTTATTTGACGTGGCAGAAAAGTACAGAGAATATGAAGATGAACCAATGCCTGCAAATGTTCAGCGTATGTACTCGTAAAAGATATTTTTATCTAATATTAAATGGACGCACAGAACTTAGCGAATGCACAGCAACCTGGACAACCAAACCCAGAGAATATTCCAAATGAAGTTAGAATACAAACTGCAATGGCAAACTATGGTCAAGTGCCAACAGATGTACAAATGCAAACTGCCATGTCAAATGACGCTGCGTTAGGTTTGCCACCATGGTATGCAAATATGAGATGGAAAGAGTTTTATACAAACCCTGAAGTGGGATATAAACAACTTTATGCAGATGACGCGAACACAGGAGTTGACCCAGAATATGTTTTCTACCAGAGGAGAAACAGAATGTATGAGCTCCAGTTAAAGAATGCTATGGAACTCAACAGGAAACGTAAGAGACTAGGCGGACATTAGATTTTTACATATAGTAAAATGGGTTTCTTTGGAAGAATAGGAAACTTCTTTCGAAATGTTGGAAGAGGTATATGGAATGGAATAAAATCTGTCGGAAGAGGAGTATGGAACGGCGTCAAGAATATTGGTAAAAGAGTAGGTCAGTTTGTTGGTATTATACCTAAAGACCCTGAACCAGAAGAACAAGCTCCTGTAATACAACAGCCTGAACCTGCACCACAGTCTAGTTGGCAACCAAATCCAACACCTCAACCATATTAAAAAATTATATTTTTACCGTTCGATAGTAGTTGTATATGAAACTAAGTTCTAAGTAAAACGCGTGGTATAATGGAATTATTCTTTTTCTTCCATCTGTAGTAAATCATACTTGAAAGTCTGAAATACTTCCACTCGGCGGTTCATATAACTTTGTAGGTTTTTCGTAAAAATCATTCATCAGGCATAAGAAAGAGTTTTGCGCACCAGAAAATGAAGCATGAACAATAATAGCATCTGGGTCGAAAACATTTTCATATGTTCCATTAGGGTTTTCGACTTCATAATAGTCCGGGTGTACTGGATATGCTGCAGGCTGATTTAACATCCTCATAAATCTATACCATGCCAAGTTGTTATATTTTGTAGAAATATAAACGTTTTCTCCAAGGTCTTCTATTTTATTGATTTTAACAGTTGCATTTTTCCTGTCATAAATAATATCGAGATGGTATTCTCCTTCGTCAATGTTATACTGGTTTGCATATTCAATATAGATATCGCTTATTTTTTCTTGAAAAGCTTGAAGAGTTGTTTCTAAGTTTATAAGCAAATTAACTTGTAAAAGTTTTCCTTGTTCAAATTTCTCATACATACGTTTTTCTTTGTTATAGTATCGAACTTCAAAACCGACCGTAAATGGGAAACCATGTATGGCTTCTGAAATGAACTTCATTCTACGAAAGCCAATAGCTTTTGTGACGGATGGGTCTCTTAACCATCTTAATGGGTAGTCAAAACGATAGCCTTCATGCTTTACGGTATCTGTCTCAAACTTTTGACCGACATTAATAAAAAGTTCATCTAATGGTTTAGTTGTAGCAACTATAGAATTTTCTTTTTCTATTGGAAGCATATTTTATCTATAATAAAAATGTCAAATGAAACAGCGTCTATGCGAGAAATACAACACAACCGACAACTCATTATGCAAGCTCTAAATAAGAACACAACAAACTTTTCAAACTATTCTAAGATATCTGAGTCATTGAAAGGGGGTGACTTAAAACTGACAATAAACCCTATAACAGATGAGTTTCTATTTCAAGACAATAAGAACAATACTGTCTGTATAAATCCAACAAAAGGAACTTTAAACGAGAAACCTATAAATGAACTTCTTTTGAAAGCAGATGTTAACAACAAAGCTGACAAAGAATATGTAGACGATGCAATAGCACAAGAAGAAGAAAGAGCTAACAATGCTTATGCAACAAAAGAACATACTCATCCTGAACTAGCAGACAAAACATATGTTGACAATAAAATGTCAAGTGAAGTGACAAGAGCTGAAAACAAATATTCTAAAAAGACTCATATACATTATATTAACCAAATACCAAGTCTTAAGGAAACATTAGAGACAAAAGCAAATAAGACTCATACACATTCTATATCTGATATCACAAACTTACAACTAACTTTAAACACTAAAGCAAACTATGGTCATACACATACCATTGCAAATATTACAAACTTACAAGAAACCTTAAACAGGAAAAGTGACGTTGGACATACACATACATCTTCTGAAATAACAGACTTAAACGTTAGCCTTGAAAATAAAGCAGATAAGACTCATACACATTATATAATAGAATTTGTTGAGCGTATAAACCTTGAAACAAACTATGAAGAATATCTTGAACGAACAGAACAAGAAAGAGATGTAGATGGAAATATATATACGCTTTTTACAAGAAAAAAACCAACACTATACTATAATGTTACTAATACTGAAGTGAGTGAGTTTTTTGAATGGGATGAACCAGTTTGGGCTTTAACAAAAAGCGATGATATGGGCATACCAGTTAGCTTCAGCATAGA